ATATAAAATTATTTATATAAAATATATAACTTTTCTATTATACTGTTACACATAATTTAAATACATATAGTTCTATATAAGCCTACATAATGTAACTACACATAAAATTAAAATTTGGAGTTGGAATCCTAAACGAAATGCCATGCCTCCTCGCTAGACCTGAGCTGGGAGCGAAGACTGGGGTGTGACTCTTTTTCTCTCTTGTGTTTTACCGGCTTAGAAGCCAAATGGGGCAATGGGTGCAGTTACCCGATCTCAGCTGACGGAGCAGCGTTTTGGGGCCGGTTATCACCTTCGCACCCCTGGAACTGTCCAGCTACCATTTAATTATTCAACGCCCCAAACGAGATCATTAGGATCAGATAAACTGCCAGCCATGCGAGGATGCTGGGTGTCCAGCACATCTGTCACCCCGCTTCCTGCCAGAGGCTTCAGCCCAGTGGTGCACCAAACAGCCACCACCACCCCCGCCCCGCAACCCGGCCGGGACCTGGGAGCCTACGCGATGACGTTGAAGGCGTCCTTGTTGGACAGCTGCTCCTCCAGCAGAAGCCGCAGGGAATGCTGGATATGAATAATGTACATGGAATTGGTCGCAGAGATATCGAGCAGTATAACCACCCTGCAAAGAAACACAAGCTTTAAGAAGCGAACGGAATCGCCCGGATAGTGTTCGTTTTGTTCCATTTTACTATTTAACGTTTTTTCCGGGAGAACTCTTCACATGCCGGATTCACAGCCGGCTTTCGAAACCTTCACGTGCTGTGAGGTCAACGGAGGTGAGTTTACAGCAGTAGACCGGGGAGGCCGTGGAACCTTCTCTCCCAGGGGGCCCTATCACGGAATAAAGTCTCACCGTGAAGACACTTTAAGGGGCAGGGGCTGCGTCTGATGACTCTCAGCCAGTGACTTTCACACATTTCCTCGTTTCGAAGCCCTAGCGTTCAGTATCATTACGTTTGGGTCTTTAACAAGGTGAGCAAGTCAGACGGGAAAGCTGTGTATCTAGGCCACTGGGAAATGTTCGAGTCTCCCCGATTCTGCTCTGTTTTGCGATCTCTAGCCACATTCTACCTGCTCCTTCTTTTACTATTTCTGATCTTACATTCCCGCCTCCTCTACGGACAGCAGAAGAAAATCCACTGGGTTTAGGGTCAGAAGCCCTTGGTTCAAGTCTCACTTCCCGTGTGGCCTTAGGCAAGTCCCCACACCTCTCTGACCCTTGGTATGGTGAACCATAAACTCTTTATAACAAGGCTCCTCATAGGGTGGCATCGAGATTTAAAGGCTATAATAGGTGCGTAGTACGGCGGAGTACACTGCTTTGTAAGGGTGACACATCGAGTTCAGGCACCGAGTGACAACGGTGGCTCTGTCGGCCACCCCGCTCCTCCTCGCTCGGTGCCCGTCACCTCCTTGGGCAACAGCACCGTGGTTTCCCCTGGGGAAACATGTCCGCCCCTCTCTGCCCATTTGTCCGGGGGTAGAGCGGACCCCTCCCCAAGCCTGGAGAGTGGGCGTTTGACTCTAGGCAATCAGATCGCCAGGGGTGGAGAACTCATGGGTGGGCCCGCGCCCCAAGCTCTGGGAGGAAGTTGGGAGCTTCAGGAGGTGGCCGTGCCACCTGGAGGGGTGAGGCTGCCTGAGGACAGAGCCAACGGAGAAGGAAGTAGAGCCGGGCGGTGGAGCTGGACGCCCGAGCCTCTGACGAGCTGATGAGCCGTGCCTGAAGACAGCCTGCGGCCCTGTTCTGGCATTTTCAGTTACCCTAACCAGACTTCCCCGTTTTGTTTGAGCTGAATGATTGACATTTAGCTTCTGTTGCTTCTTAACTCAAAGCGCCCTGAGCAACACAGTGATAGCGTTCCTCATGTTGTCACTGATGGTGGTGACATTTTCCTCATTCTTCCGGGGGACTGCTGATCCTTAACCTTAAGTGGTGGCTTCTGATGCTCCCGACAGGGCATCTCTGAGCCGGATAAGGGCTGTGTCACATACCGAACCCGCGAGGACGAGAACGCTACGTGGGGGAGGGTACCTTTTTTCGCAGACGGTGCCCCAGATTCTTCTGCTGGCCAAAGACAACCACTCGATCCTCCTCTCGTACATCCGCACGGCCCTGCTGAGCTGTTTCTGCAAACGCACGGGCCACGCCGCGTGAGCAGCGGCACAAAGGGTGGCCGAGGAAGGGGTCTGCGAGGGGAGGGCTGCGCCCCAGCTGGCTTCTGGGAATGGGGCGTCAAGGCCACGGGTAGCCAGGCAGTATAAACGGTCCACTGAATCATGGCGGAGCCTGACACAGGGCCGGGGCGGGAGGAGTCAAAGTGCTTCGTTGTCGGGCACGGGGGACGAGGGAGAGCTTGCCCCAAAGGGTTAGGGGCTTCTGTCTGAGGCCTCCAGGTCCCTGCCTGGGGCCGGGGAGAAAAATCCTCCAGAGGTGCCCGGGGGTGAGCATAGTCCATTTACGAGAGAGAGTTCAGGCAAGGGCTCGGTCTCCGTGCTCCGTGGTCCTCCCTCCCGCACCCCCTGTTCTGACTGATGGGAGCCCTCGCTGACCTGGTACTCATAGAGGAAGGGCGGGTCCACGTGAATATTCTTCACCGTGCCGTCATGCCACTGAAACTGCACCATTGCCTTCTGCGCTCGGGCGTGGCCAGCAGGGGAGCAGGTGCGTGGGGGCCACACGGGGAAGGGGTGGAAGTTTAGTGTGGGCACCGGGCTCTCCGAATCGGATGTCTGAGACGGAAGTGGGCTCCGACTGCAGCTGGGGGCGGATTATCCCCCCATCCGCCCCTCCCCCCGCCACCCAGGTCCCTGCCTCGCTGGAGCTGGTGGCAGGGGGCCTTCAGGACAGGGGGCACCTGAGTGAACCAAGGCTGACGGTAAGCCAGGCTGCCACCTCGAGAGGTTCTCCTGAACCCTGGAGTCTTTACGACAAGATATGGTTGGAGGTTTCGGTATTAACAGGTTTGGAGAGGCCCTAAAACATACTGCCTACGGGTTCTTAGGTGTGGGGCCCTAAGTCGGCCTTCACGGCCAGGTTGGAAACTGGCTTTGTCCATCTTCCTTCATCCTCCCCCCAGCCGTCATAGCCACATCGCCCGCCGTGGCTCTGTCCACACAGTCATTCCACTGTGGCGGAAGTCTGCACAAGGCACAGCGAGGACAGAGGGCGGTGCGTTCCGAATGGGGTGCAGGAAAACCTTCGTGGGGGGCCCACCTCACTCCAGACCCACTCCAGACCCTCAGGCTCTGCCCGTGACCCTCACTTCCCGGACGTCAGCTGGAAGGGAGCCGCCGCCACGAGCTGCCCCGCCACGGACGGTGAGGACTGAGTCCGGGTTACCTCGTGGACAGTGGACGACACCGTTTTCTGGAGAATAGGCACGAATTCCTCCACGGGAGAGAACGCGTTGGGCGCCAGAACCTGGTACAGGCTTAGCTTCTTGGCTGCGAAGATGGAGCCGGGGGTTGGGGCGCCATCACGAACCCCCGGGGAGCCTGGGCCTTTTGGTCAAGGGACCCGAGCCCTGGGCCCTGCCCTCTCTGCGGACCCACCTTTCAGGCCGTTGACCTTCAGCCATTCCGCGGAAGTCCGCTCCAGGTTTGGGAACTCGATTGTGAGGGGAGCTTCGTGCTTTGGGGGTTTCGGCAGGAGACTTGTGAGTGGCCCTTTGGCAGCCTCCGTGGAAATCTAAATTAACGTTGAAAACCCGCGTTCCATGAGGATATTCCAGACCCGCGAAGCCCTCGATCTCCTGCGCCTGCCCAGCCTCCCAAGGGAGCATCTTCGCAGGTCACCCGGGAAGCAAAAGGCAGTTTTGCCTTCCTCTCCCACCAGCCTCGTCCCTTCTCTGCAGATTTCAGGAATGTCCAGGGGAGAGGGTGGTGTCCCCAGCAACTCGCCTCCTGTTTCGTCTGCCCGCCCTCCCAGCCCCATCCGCACCCTGGCAGGCAGCCCCTCCGAGCACTCCAAACACAGGGCTTCAAGGAGCTAAAAAGTCCCCCCTACGCCAAATCCTTCAGGGAGCCCTGACCTCACCCAGCACCGCCCCCCCATGCGCCCACATTGAAACACTGAACCTGAGGTTCTCGGAGGTTCTACCACACAGAACAGCAACTCCCAGACTGCAGACATCTGAGCACCATGCACTGTTCTTTACTTCACATATATATAGATTTTTTAAAAATCGAACGTAACGTGAAAGCTTTTTAATATTCTATTTGACTTACTTTTCAAAATTGACTCTTTTCGGTGTGTGTATTTAAATGCTTTTAGGAACGTTACTACCCCCAAGGAGCTAGCTTTAAATATATAACATTTAAAACAATAGGAATCTGTGTGGCACCTCACAATGATCTTGCAAAACGCAAGGAGTACATGCCTTTGATTTTGCGAAACTCCTGGCAAGGTTTTGGCCTCAGACAGACTTAGGTTCAGTTCATACCCAATCAATTTCTAAGCTCTGTGATCTCGGGCAAATTATTTAACTTCTCAATTTCAGTTTGCTGGCCTGTAAAATGGGGTGAATGATATACCTACACCTACTGCAGACTGTTTTGCAAAGATAAACTAAGAACCAAGACTGTGCCTGTCTTATACTGAGCACTCAGCAAGTGAGAACCGCTGTAATACTCGTCGTCACTGCGATTATCTGTGCAGTCCGTGGAAGAGCCGGGCCTGAAGTCCAGGCTCGCTGCGTCCGGCCAGGATAAATGCACCCCCATTCTCTTCTGTCCACGGCTAAGTCTCCTGCACTGGCACGTAGCTTAATGGTGCTCGTGTCCATAAGCTGGCTGAGCTATTCTGCCGACGTTAAATTAACCTGACTAAAGGTCCTGAGGGGGAAAGAATCTTCTAGACAGCCTACTCTGTGTGGCTGAGGTTTTCATCATTCTCCAAACTGGGGGGCAGGGAGGGGGCGAGGGCAGGGGTAGCAGGAGCCCGCTGGCCTTGCTCTGAAATCCATTTTTCAGTTAGGATGTCCCCAGGGCCTTCTGGCACAGGAGACAGCCTGCCCTGCCCACCCAGCTCTGAGCGGTGGGGTACAGGGGAGGACGGGGCTTTGCTTTGTTTCACTTTCAGAATGTGGGGGGTTCGGCAGCCCTACCCTCTAGGTGACAGGTGACAAAGGAGGATGGAGCCAGCCAAGTGTCTCCTGGAGAAGGTCCCAGAATCTTCGTTCACACCTACCTCCTCCATCAGGCCCGTGAGTTCCTCGCAGGGGGCACTATGGCGCAGGCCTTGCACGTGGCCCAGGAGACTCTGGGCCTTCTGGATTTCAGCCAGGAGCTGGTGCACGTCCCAGCTGGTACAGACCTGGGGGTGACAGGAGCAATCAGCCATCCAGAAGTCACTTAGCTACCGGTTGTACCCAAGGCAGGAACGGGGAAGCAGCCCCATCAGCTCCCAAAGCTGAGTGGCAGACTCTTCAAAGCAGACGTTATAAACTGGGGTCCGTGGGCAGGGCACGGCCTGCACGCGTGCCATGTTCCGCCGTGCAGCGCTCACCTGCAGTGCTTTTAAACAACCGAAGGGCTGTCTAACCTGAAAACGTGAGGACACACTACCCCTCTGGGGTGCCTACGATAATTTAGAAAGGATGCAAACGAGTGCCGGCGGGGGTGCCAAGAATCCGAAGTCTCGTGCACCGCTGGCGGGGTGCACGACCGTGTGCAAAAGTTTGGTGGCGCCTCCAAAGTTAAACAGAATTACTCCACGACAGAGCCTTGCCACTCCTAGGTACACACCCCGAGTACCTGGCCACAGGGATACCGTACACCAACATTCCCAGCAGCCCGTGACAGCCAAAAGGTAGAAACGACCCCAACGTCCATCGGCTGATGAACGGATAAACAAAAGGTGGTCTATCCAGAAAATGGAATATTATTCAACCATAAAAAAGGATGAAGTGCTGATTCCTGAGACAACATCGATAGACCTGGAAAACGTGATGCCAAGTGAGAGAAGGAAGATACAAAAGGTTTACGATTCCATTCGAATGAAATATCCAGAACGAGTAAATCCAAAGAGATAGGAAGCAGGTTGTGGGGTGCTGGGAGCTGGGGTGCGGAGGGAATGGGGGTACCCGCTTAACGGGCACGGGGTCTCCCTCTGGGGGGGTGAACGTGTTCTGGAACTAGACCGAGGAGGGGGCTGCACAACCCTGCAGATGTTCTAGAGGCCGCTGCTTGCTCACTTCAGAGTGGTTAACCTTACCTTATGTGAATTTCACCTCGAATGTTTTAAAAGACATCGCACGCACAAAATCATCCAGATTTCTGTCTCTTCTGGAAAAATCGGAAGACCCAGCCATGCTGGGGTCCCATTCCCGGAGAGCCGCCGTCAGCTGGGGCAGGAGGCGCCCCCCTCGCGTAAGCGTGTGTGTGCGCGTGCGCCACCTCATTTACCACCGCCCCACCACGCTCGTGGACCCCATCGGAGTCGGCTGAGTTTTGTCATCCTTGTGTGTTGCTTTCTTTGCTCATATTAAAGAGGACAATGACATGTGGCGTACAGATATCTCCCTCAAGAGTGGAAAAAGAACAGATAAGCCAAGAGGGCCACAGGTTTTAAGATAAAATGTTTCTTAAACCAGCTACTTTCATTCATTTACTGTACCTTCCTGGCCTCTGCAGCCTGGGACCCCTACGCACAGTCTAGAAAACGAGGCAACAAAAGTGGGTGTTTACCTAGAAAAACGTCACCCGATCTTGGCTCCCTTCTGTGAAACGCTAGACTTTGTGACATTTGAACGTGTGAGATGCAAATATTCATTTACTCGTGGCTATGAACGGTTAGCAGGCAAGACACGGCCTGTTAGCGGAACAGATGGTTGGAGTCTCGATCTGCCAAATGGGTCCACACACGTCTGCTAATTGTCACCTCCGCTGTGGACACGAGGAGCGTGAAGCTATTATTTACTAAGTGGGACAAGGACACTAACAGGCAGACTGGTACGGAACTGGCTGCTCGGTCAGAGCTGACTGCGGCGGGCCCCCCCCCCGCAGGAGCAACGGCCCGTCTTGGAGACGTCGGAGGTGGCTGATTCAGACTCAGAGCTTTGGGGGGCACGGGGGGCAGGCTGGACAGAGACTCGTGATCCCACTCGCTAGGATTCAGAAGGGCTCCGGGCTCCAGGCGCGTCGCCAGCTCATCACACGTGCTGACCGAAAGATCTCTTGTGACTGTGTGTCCCTGTTCTCCTCACACGTCCCTTCTCACCTGACTACACCTGTGTGCGCCCGCTGAGCGTGGGGGAGGGCGCGGAAGCACGGGCGCAGCTGGCTCGGTCCTGGCCCGGATGCTGCGGCTGGCAGGGGGAGGGGAGGGGAGGGCAGGGGAGGGAAGGGGAGGGGAGGGGCAGCAAACTGACCTCCGCGTCCAGGCTGTAGCAGTGGTAGCAGCCCCCGACAGCCTCTGCGAGGTTCTTCAGGACAGCCTGCAGGGGAGGTGGCAGGGTCAGCCCCGGCCCGGGCGAGGCTGACACCCTAATGACTTTCTCCTTGACCGAGCTTCCTGCCGCCCACCGCTTCCGGCCTTCCCAAAGGGGAGCTGCTCACAAGGAGAGTCGTGTTCTGGCCCACGCGGGGAGCCTCCCAGGCTGGCCCCGCTCACTATGGCCAACCCGGGGGAAGCCTCGGGGAGTCTCAGGCACTTACAGGGGGCACCTGATCGTCGCATTTGTAGGTGACGATGTGGGTGAGGAGGTCCCTGCCCACAGTGGACTGCTGGATGTAGTTGGACAGGATTTCAGCGGGCTGATCCGGGCTGGAGCGAAGACAGAAGAGAATGTGCCCGGTGTGAGCACATCCCGGAGTAAAAGGGTGATTCTCAGGGAGCGTCGGCCGAGTCTAACTGGCCACCTGTGTCCCAGGCCACCTGTGTAAGGTGCAGGGCAGAGTGGACTGCCAGGTGGCCCTGCCCCTTCACCCATGGACAGATGGCCCGTGAACGCAGTGCCCCATCGAGCGACTGTGAAGAGTCGCGCCCGACGATCCTTCTTCAAGCGACAGTTTGGTTCTCTGGCCCCTTCAGGCCACTAGTCTGTTACCTGCACAGGGACGGGGACCTACCAGCTCCCCAGGATGACCACCAGAGCATTCAGCCCCCTCAGTGCGAAGACTTTCTTCAGGGCTTGAAGCAGATTGCTGCCTCCCTCGGGCTGTAGCTGCTTCACCCAGAGCTTGAGTTCCTGGAGGCTGGAGGGACAGCAACAGGGACAAGAGCCATCTGGTCACAGCGCCCTCTGGGGGCCAGGCCCGGGACGAATACGAGCCCAGTGGAGCCCGGCGCTATTTCTGAGGTTGGCACCTTGATTCCCAGTTTGCAGACGCGGAGACTTAGGCGCAGCGTGAGGACTTGCCAAGGCGCCTCGCTCCGCAACTGGCAGCACTGATTTCAAACCAGATCTGACCAGGACCTGAGCTTCCAGCAGCTCTGCCGCCAGGGGGCCTGGGCCTGAGTCCCCTCTCCACCCCCTCCAACCCCGTACCCCAACTCTCCCGGGAGGCGGACCTCAGCCTGAAGCCTGGCGTCAACCCCCGACCCTGAGAGGGCTCCGAGGGACGGCATCGGGCCTGAGTGGCTGTGCCCGTGAGGACATGACACGCGGGGAGGCGGAAGTGACCCGGCACAGTGCTTCCTGCTTAGACGCCTCCCGGGCGTCTGCTCCCTCCGAGCCCCTTTCAGTTGGACCAAAACAAACACACCAACCTCAGCTTGTTTCTAGAAGTCTGTCCCTCACTCCTCCAAGCAGAAAGAGAACAAATTCAAGCCCAGCACCTTTTCTAGTCATTAGGTTTCAAGCTAGAATTTTATATCATTGCTTCGTTTGCTTTCATTGTAGTTATTTTTTTGGCTACTTTCAAATTATGGCAAGTGATACAGGCTTCCCAGGTACGGTATCGATAACAGAGAGTTTCCTTCAGCAATAGGGCTGATACAAAGAAAAATCGATAATCGTACACGTGGCAGAGATGTGACAAAAATCACAAGGGAAGTCCGGGATTGACTGAAGTTGGGGAACTCTCGGCTCGATGATCTCAAGGTCACTTCCAGTCTGACACCCTGGGGATCGGGGGCGGAACTAAGGTGGAAACCACAGTGAACGCGCTGTTATGCGTTTTCGTCCTCACGACTCAGCGAGGGGTGGGGATCCTTGGCCTCATTATGCTCACGAGAGAATTGAAAGATAGGTCGAGGCCACCCGGGAACTGTCACGGCTGGGATTCAAAGCCGGCGCTGCGGAACCAGGCCCTCGTCTGCCTTCTCTTCACAGCTGGTGCTGGGTGAGGGTCCTGCACCCCAGGCCGAGCACCCCGGTTTCCTAGACTTCGCTCCGGGCTTCGGAGGCCAATCCTGGCTCCGCTGTACTGGGCGCGTTCCCTAACCCGAGCCCCAGTTTCCCGTGGGTGCCCTGTCATGTCATTGGGCGGACCTTCTCCCCAGGAGTTGCTGGCGCCCGCGTTTGTGAGCGGTCACTTTGCTCTCACCCGATGGGGGCGAAGACACCAGCACTTGGGAGGAGGAGGAGGAACGCGTAAACACCCTGGCCAAGGCCGGGGCCACTCACGTGGAGGCGCTGACGTCCACGGGGTCTGGCCAGAGGGCGCAGGTGGCGGTGCCGAAGGACAGGGCGTACAGCGTCTCCTTGCGGCTCAGCTGCTCGTCGATGAGACGCTGGAGGACAAAAGGACATCGCGGGCTCCCGGACCCAGGACCCAGGACCCACGCGGAGCCTGGCTCCACCTCCTTCGCCACGGCTGGCCCCCAGCACCCTAGCTGCCCATCCCGGCCCGCCGCATGGTGCTGTGTGTGGTGGGGACAGGACGTGGGCCTTCAGCCTGCGGACTGGACTGGTGGCCGGCCCTGGGGGATTGCGGGCCCCTGCCGCCCACAGGCTGCTGGAGCACATGTGCCCACTGGGACATGTGAGTGGGGCTGTGGGTGGTGGCAGCTGGGGAGGGAGGACGGCGGCCGGGAACAGCCGTTTCCCTCCCGGGCAGGGGCCACGAGCCGGCCTGTTGGACGGTGAGATGATGCACCGTCTTCTTCCCGCAGAGGGACATTTCCGCCGCTCCCTAAGCGAGCCTGGCGCTGCCTGGTATTAGAACAGCCGAGAAGGGGAGACTGCCCTGACAGCTGTCCCCTGACACCCGGCGAGGCCAGGCATGGGGACCGGTCAGGGTAACCCGCCCCGTTGAGCCCTCCAGAGTCTCTCAACTGGCCGTTGCTGGGAGGATCCCCCTCCGAAGCTCTGGGGATCCCATGGGAAAATGGCCCTGTGTTACTTCACAGACAACACAGCTGTTTCCCTCGGCCAGACCTTGTACGGAGCGTCCACTCGCATGGAATCCCCTCCTCCCCTGGTCCCCACCCCCATTTCACAGAAGAGGTGACTAAGGCACAGAGAGACGCGGGAACACGGTCGCAGAGCCCAGGAGTGGCCGAGGCGACTGGTCATGTGACCGTGGTTCCCAGCGTCTCTGTCATGGACACTCTGGAGGCCTCGGAATAGGCCGGGCGAGGGCGTGGGCGGGGGGGTGGCGCGTGCTGTGCTCTCCAGGGAAGAGGTGGGGAAGCGGAGTCTTGACACAAGGTCGGCTTAGTAGGGACGTCATGGTGACAACGTTAGAAGCTCACACTCTAGGTTGGGTTTCCCTGGAACTGCACACATTCCCTGCAGGTGCTAATTGAGTGTGAAACACCCGCTTCCTCTTGTTATAAACAAAGCCAGCTGCCATGTGGGGTGGAGGGGGAGATGGGCGTTGGTGGTTCCAGGCCCCTCCCTGCGCCCCGAGGACTCACCACGAAGTCCTTTTGGAACTCCTCTCTCTGAGGGCCACTGCGGACAGCTGACACATCGATGAGGAGGCCGACTCTGGCCCCCTTGACGAGGCCGAAGGTCTGAAACGGCAGGGGGCCCGGGAGTCAGCGGCCGGCGTGGTGGCAGCGTGGACGGGTCACCCTGACACGGAGCAGCGGGGGGCAGGCCCCGGTCGCAGGGGAGAAAGGGCACCCGCGTCCTGACTCACTCTGCGTCTGATTCGTGCGGCCTGTGCTCTCAGGGCTTTTCCCGCTTCGTATTTACTGTCGTTCGTTACAGGACATTTGGGGACTGGAAAAGCACCCTTTGTAAGAGGTAAGGGGGGACCCTTCAGCAGACACCAGCGCGTCTCATTTCATTTCTCTGTGGCCGGGAGTGTTTTCTGCCTACTCTGTCAATCCGGGGCGGATGCGCTAAGCCTGCGGCTGCCCTGGTGTTTTCTGTGAGTTTCCGGTTGCGTCTCTCCGACACCTAATGCCAAATCCACGGCGATGCCGTTTGATGCCGCCCATAAGCATCCCTCCCGCTGGAGCCGCGCCGTGAGCCGAAATCCTCACGCGCGTGAAATCGACAGCTGCCAGGGCCCTGTGATTCTATCCGGGGCTTTTTGCCTTAAACCCGGCTTCATCATCGGGTACCCGGATTTTCTGTTCCGCTCACCCTCCCGTTCACCGACGCGCCTGCCCCTGTGCCCACGCCCTGCGCCTCGTCCTGTCCCAAGTGCCCAGTGGCCGCTCCCCAGCGCGGCTGGGTCTTCTCATGCCAAACAGGGACGTGGCTTCTGTCGTCACCGTCACCTTCGCCTGGGCCACCGGTCCCTCCCCGTCTGTTGGGTGGTTCTCCCACGCACACAGGCCGTAACGCTGCCCCTTGTCGCAAGGGGGCGCAGTCTCGGGACGCCACCCCTCCCTCCCGCTACCCCTCCGAGTCTCTGCTTCCCGAGCTCCCTCGCCACTTCTCTGTTGCCCCCTCACATCGGGCACTCGCCTCCCCTCTCCTCTAAAGCCACACTGACTGAGGCGATCACGACCTCACTCGTGCTAAACCCAGCGGCCAAATCGAAGCTGGCAACTCTCTGGAACTCTGAGCGGCACAGGACACCACGTAAACCAGGTCGACGTGTGGGCACACAGGCCCTTCCCGGACATCACATTCCCCCGTCTTTCCCTCCACTCACGGCCAGTCCTCCTTAATCTCCTTTGCCAGACAGACCCTCCTCCTCGTCCCGAAGATGAGGGACGCCCCTGGGACCTGTTCCCGCATGTGTCGCTCAGCCATGGACTGACAGCAGCACCATCCCTGGGAGCTCGTTAGATGGACTCTCAGACCCACGCCCCCCACCTCGTTAGAATCTGCGCTTGAACAAGACACCCCTTGTCCCCACCTCCCGGGCTGTGGCCGCTCCTTAACGTCTGAGAAGCACTGGGCAGCGCCCCGTCTTAGCCTCCTCACTGCTGACATTCATGGCCAGATAACTCTGAGCCTGCGTGTCGCAGCGTATTGAGCAGCTTCCCTGGCCACCTCCCTTCCCAGTCGTGACCACCAGAATCTCTCCAGGACACGCCCGAGGCGAAAGCAAACGGCGAGCCGGAGAAGTATCCGTTAGAAGACAATCGACTAAAGCAAAAACCACTGAAAGCAAATCAGTCATTAGTTTGCTCGTGATCGCTCTCCGGGTCCGAGGAAGACATTTAATCAAACTTCCAAGAAAAGTTATGTGCGGCTGATCAGCCTCAGTCTTCCAGATGTTATTACGGGGCCGATGTCAAGCGGTCTGGGGGCATCTGCTGTCCTCACCCCAGGATCCGTTACCTTTTCTGGCAATAGCCCTCCGGCTTTCCATGTGCCAACGTCTGTCTCCCCATCTCAGCCCACGAGGTTTTGGGGGGGGCCTACCTAGTCTCCTCCCCCTTTCCCCAAGAGTGAGCACCAGCTCCCGTCCTAGCCAGTGAGCGCAGCTCATGCTCTCGGCGATGGTAAACGGTCTCGCCCGGCCCGGCTGGGGCCAGTGTCAGGACCTGGGAGGGGAGGGGAGTCCCTTTCGACGTGTCACTCTAGCCAGAGACATGTCGGCCTGAGAGCTGCTGAGGACCATCTTCCCAAGCCGGGGAGACGGCCTCCCCGAGAATAAAATCAACCCAAGGGACGCCGAGCCCAGAGACAGAGGTGACATCATTGAGTCCCTGGGTACAGCTGTATCTGGGTTTTCTCAGTTTTTCATTGATGTAGGTCAAGAAATTTTTTTTTTTTTTTTTTAGCCGAAGCCACTTTAATCTGAGGTCTGTCACTCACGGCCGCGGGGGGACCGAGCGCGAGGACAGACACGGGCTCCGTGTGGGTTACCTTTCTGCCGTCTCCTCCGAGCCACCGGATCCTCCGTCGATAGAGTTCAAGAGCTCTGTCAAAACACGAGAAAGACTCGTCCGCCGAGGTCGGCTCTGTCGCATGGGAGGAAGGTGCGCGGGGGATTTTTTTTTTAAATTTTTTTTTATGTGTCTAAGGCATTGGGAGAGCATAAGGCCAAACCTAGCAAAGAAAAATCTGAACGTGTTCGTTTGCCGGGGTGAGGACCGAAGGGGCTGCGACAGGGAGCACGTGCGTGACACTGCCCTTCGGTGACGCCACGGACGTGACACGGGACTAAGCGTTGGTGGGACGAGGGGCAGACTCCGGGTGAGGGCAGGTCTGTCGCGGGGGGCGGACGGGGGCCTGAAGGAAGGAGGAAGAAGACTCTCTCGCGCTTCTCAAATCCGTGCCCTCGGGGGTGAGACTTGCTGGCCACCTGGAGAGGACCTCAAAGGCACAACTGAGGCCACGCGGCAGCAGTTCCTCAGTGGACCGATGAATAAAAAAACCCAGCTTCTAAAACACGAGTGGCCGGGGGAGCCTCACGGCAGACGCGCAGCAGGAGCTCAGGGTAAAAGGCTCCGTCTCTGGAATTGAAGCGAACCGCCTGCGCTTCGGGCCAGTGGGACCTGGGGCTTAGGGCAGGGGGAGGGAGGCCTTGGGCCATGAAAGCACAGGGCCGCGGGGGCCGTAGGCGAGGAAGGGCAGGACCCAGAGCGCGAGCTTCGTAATGAGACGTGCTTGTCTCGGACATCTAGCTCTGCCGTTGGTTGACACGCCGTGCGACCTCGGACAGGGGCGAGAACCTCTCTGAGCCCCAGTGTCATCATCTCCAACACGAAGATAATGACGGGGCTCCATCCGGGTCAATTTGCCAAAAGTCAACTTGCCGAAAGCCAATCCCTTGATAATCAATTTGCCAAATGACCATTTCACCGAACGGACTCGAACGTTCCTTAAAATGCTGGAGTCACAATTAAAACCGACCAACCTAAATATCACAGAATTCTTTGACACCCGTTTAAACCCTCCGACCCAATAAAAACTGTTACAGAAGTTACAGCTGACCTGTTTGGATAACTTTGACAAATTGGTCATTTAGCCATTGGCTTTTGGTTAACTTCGGAGTAACGCTATATTCTGAGTTGTCGCGAGGATCCAACAAGATAATGCAGGCAGCGAGCTATAGCAGATTCCTGACACGTTAATAAACGTTAGCCATTTAGTGTTACTCCGCCTTTGTGAAACCTCCGGCCAACGGCAATCACGGACCGGGATCAGAGGTCAGAGCTGGGATGGAGCGTGTGTACGTGCTCTCAAAATCCGGTTTGGGCACGGGGAGCCTGCATATCCTGACATACAGTTACAAAAGTAGGAACTCAATTTCCATTGGTCATGGAAAGTGGTCACTCTTAACCATTCTACGTCAAATGAGGCTGGGCGGGGGACGGCGGGGGGAGGTTACATGTTTATCCAAAGGGGCCATAGATTGTAAAAGGCTGAGAAAAATAGACTCCAACCTCCTTTTTTGAAAAAGGAGGAAATTGGGGCTAGAAGTGGGAAGAAATCTGCCCAAGATCCCACAGACTGTTGTTTGAACAAAGGCCACCAACGTTATTTTTGAGGAAGACGCTAAGAAACACACTTACTCAGAAAGCGCTGATTCGAACTGGTGGATGATCTGGGTGGGGAGGTGCATTTTCTTCGTGACATTGCTGCCCTCCTCCCTGAAGAAGCAAAGCCTTATGAGGGGTCCCTCCGGCCCGGGGGGCTGGGCACGTCCCTGCAGGCCTGGGGGTTGGAGGGGGAGGCTCCAGACTTACAGCACGGTTGTGCCTTGGCGTATCAGGTCGGCCAACGTGAGTTTCTTGAACGTTAAGCTGTGAGTTGAAAGCCAGTCTTGAGAATCTTCGCAAGCCGAAGGCTGGGTCTCGTCCTGCAGCCTCTGCGAGACAGAAGCCAAGGTCAAACGGAAAACTGTGGGAACAGAGGGCCAGGCTGAGGACGCCCCAGGTCCTCTCCATGTGGATGCCCAAGGGCTGCCGGCTCTGACCTGGCAGCCTGAAGGCGGTCAGTTCATGATCTCGCCTTGCTGAGGGGACAGCTGAATGCGGACGCCCGGTCTCTGGCCAGTCGCCCAGAAATGCCCATTTCCCTCTCTCGCCTCGTCCCCAACATGCGGCCGGACAAGTCAAAGGTCACTCACCATGGCCTGCCTTGTTGTACAAACATACAATGGCCAGACTGGACATGACCACACGACTTTTGCAACAACCTGCCCAGGGGGCTAAACCACAATCTCTACAGCAGCTGTGGCCTCGGATGGTCGGTGCTTGGTCAGCGACGCCAGTTTTCCCATTTTTTGTCCCGTTTCCAGCTCAGGACCAACCAGAGAAAACCAAATGCGCCCCCTCCCCCATCACAGGATGTCCTGCTTCTAGTTAGGTGCCCCCGGCTCCCAGCTCCTGCCTCCAATGGCCTCTCCAGACCACACCTGGGCCTTCCCGTTTCTCACTGTCAAGCTTCCCCACCCCGCTGCCGGCCTCCGGGTCCCCGCCCGACACAAGGGACCGTGGCCGTGGCCGTGGCCGCTCCGAGTCGACTGCCCTCTGTCCTCATTCGTGTGGTCTTTGCATTCCGTGCGCTGTGGCAGGTGGATGAATTCTGTCCTCGCCCGCCCCCCATCAGTCCGAGGGCCCCCAGCGAACACTTGTTGACCGAAGGAAGAAGGAATGGATTCCTCTTGTCCATCCAGAGGTCAGAAGCAGGAGCAGCGGGTGGCAGTTTGAAGGGAAGAACTCTTGGGCCGTCGCAGGGGTCTGGCCACGAGACAGACTATATCACTTTACTTGTACCTAGTGACAGCTGCGTCACATAGCGCTAAGCTCAGGATGCGGGTGGTGGCCTTGGTGGTGGAGCGAAAGTCCTTCGCGGCAAGCGTTCGACAGTGGCGACGCTTCCTGGGAGCCAGAGGGCGGCGGGAGCTGACCTGAGGCTCCGAGACCGCTCTGCCCGCTCGCCTGTCCCGGAGGCTGCCATTTCTTCCGTGCTCCACAGGTGTGTCTACACCTGACTGCGAGCTAGGCGCTGTCCCTGGTGCCGGAACTGCAGCGTGAACAAGACGGACATGTTCCGGACCTCCCTGGCGCCTGCATCTAGTGCGGGCAGGTGGACGGCAGGGGAGAAAGGAAGTCGGCGTGCGAAGCTTCAGAAATGAGCTGTCCTACTAGGGAGCCAGCGCGGGGAAGTGTGGACGGTGGCGGGTGGAGATGGGGAGGCTGCGTTGGCTGGGGTGGCTGGCGGTCAGGGAAGGCCTCTCTGAGCCTTGATCCAGAGCTGGGGAGCACACGTTCCAGGCAGAGGCATGGGATGGGGTTTGAAGAACAGGAAGGTGCCCATTGCGGGTGCAGCATAGTAGGTGCTGGGTGGTGGGCAAGGCCTGGATCAGACGGGCGCTTTGCAAGAGCTTCTGGCACAACCGCTGCGGCCCATGTGATACAGATGGGCCTTAAAGGCCGCCAGCTGGCCACGACTCACTCAGGGTACCGAATGGCATCATGAGGGGCGGCCGGCTGAGTCCCACTGTGGGAGAGACTGCCCCATGGCGTCTGACGACTGTGGGACAGGCCTGACGGCCTGGAGCTTTAACTCCTCCCACGGCAGGGGTGAAAACCATTCCAGCCCCACGAAGGAGACTGTCTTGCCCGCCAACATGGTGCCACCATTCCCTAGCAACGTGCCCTAGCAACAAGAAACTTTCCCTTTGCCCTGGCAGCTGGACGGGAGCTCTCGTGGCTAAGCGACTCTCCCGAGAACCAGCTCGTAGAAAGCTGCACCTCCACTAAACTTGGACTTCATTCCCCTTAAACTCCTCTGCCTGAAACATCCTTCAAAGTATGTTATTACTTTATTGGTTTATTAAGAGATATGATCCTGTTGCTGTTGACTTGTGAGACTCTTATCATTTCTGCAGCGAACCTGTGCTAGATAAATTATTGGCAAAGGCGACCTCAGTCTCTGAGCATAAATTTGCTGCCCGAACAGAACCAGTTCACCGGGTTCTCCGTCTGCCAGCTTTGGGATGCTGGGCGTCCCGCGTCTCTCTTTCCTCCCCTGTAAAATGGGCATTGCAGGCTGCGACACAGAACACAGCCTCGAGTGTTTCTGCATGAATTCGTTCTCAAGAATAGTAGATACATAATAAAATGCTGCTGTTATATTCCAGCAAGACAGTACCGTGTCGTGAGTTCTATGCCCCAGGCCTGCTTTCTCTGTTTCAGAAGGAAGTTGGCAAGTGTTAAAAGCGTGAAAAATACTAGTAATTAAAGCAAACACTTAAATAGCACTTACTATGTGTCAAGCACTTTCCATCAACGAACTCACTTAATTCTAAAACGTAGGTTCCCTCATTAACCTCATTTTACGGACCAGGAAGCTGTCGCATAGAGAATTTAAGTAATTTGCCCAAAGTCACACAGCTCGTTAAGAGGTGGAGTGGGGACCCCACACCAAACAGAAAAGCCCGAGTCATGCTGGCGACCACCACATATTGTCTTTAAATTAGCGCCCAACCGTGACTGCTCATTAACGACGGAGAGAGAACGGACTGGAAAGATAGATTTCGCGATACGTGGCTCCCACGCTAATTAACGTCTGCCCTTGAACAGCCCGACAAACACCGCCGCCCCGTCCCGCTTAGGGACACGCTGCCACACACCGGGCAAACTCTAGACGTCACTCTTCTCATCTTTTAGGACTCGGCCACCTCCCTGGTGGCTAACGCCGAGCATGGCGGACTTGTAAGACACCTTTCTCCCCTTTTACTCACACTGGGAATGATCTATCGTGTTTCAGACGGTGGATTTTGCATTCTTAATATTTGAAGATCCACTATGAGGCCCATTTCAGATGTTGACTATAGGGCAAAGAGATTATGTACCAAAGAAGGTGCATCACACGGAGCTCAGGAAGCTCTGTGTTGGGGCGCTCCCTCCCCGCTCCCCGCCGCCTCTCCTCTGTGAGGCAGCGTGGTCCTCGCGCACCTGGGAACTTACGGGTTTATATGAAAGGAGATGATATAAAGACGTAGCGTCCACATCTGAAGTCACCGAAAGGACCCTTCAAAATCTCCACTGTTTTGACGGTTCCTCATTTCCTTTCAATGAAACTTGCTTCCCCATAAGTGCCAATACTTAAGACTTAAGTAAGACGCGACTATTGTCCTGACTGTTTAATTTGCAGCTTTAACACTATTGTTTTTGACCGATGATCATTTCAAAGCTACGCTAGTCAAATTCCAGTGTAGATTAGATAGATGGTTAGGGTCAGCCTTGCTCCCTGGCGACGCTCAGCGAGGATCTCGCTTCTAGGGTCGAATTCTGAGTTTCAGACAATCCGCTCACCGTCTGGGGAACGCCACCTGTTTACACAGGAGCGTCAGCCTAAACCCACAGCTCTGGTTAGGCTAGAGGCTAATTCTCCTGCGGTCACCTTGCTTTAATCCCGCTTCCTGAAACTGATTTTTAGATCTAGGTTTTAGGGGATCCTAGAAGAGAAAGATATCTCAGGAAGGGGAACTTGGGGACTAAATTCTTAGCCTTCAGGCTCTGGTCACGTGGACAGCGTCTTCACACGCTTCTGCCTATTTACTGACGTGCCGAGAAGCCTGTAATGTTTCTATCGACCGCACAGAGGTCATGTCTATAGGCAGGGGGTTAGCGATGAACGCTTAGTTCGCCTCGTTTTGGCCTTGGGACCCTGTGGGGAGAAAGGAAACACCCAGAGCTTAACTAACACGTCCCGCGTCCCCCCACTATGACCCGCGAACGCTGCGGCTCAGTTAGACACAGCGGTCTTTACCAGTAAGTCCTGGGTCTGATTGACGTGCGTGACCAGCAGTCCGTTGTCTGGGCCTTGGCCAAGTCCACTGGCATCTTTCAGGTTCGGCTGCTTCTGGGCATCTGTGTCAGGGCTTCTCTTCAAGCTACAAAAACACAAAGTGATTTGATCAACACCCTAGTCCTAGACATCGACTCCACGCTGCCGGCACCCCGAAACCAGTTTTACCCCATGCAGTAACTGCGGGGGTGGGGGGAGTCCTGTAGAGTCAGACTCCAGGGTCATGAGACGTTTGATCCTATTGTCCTGGTCCTTAGATTACTGAAGCCCTCAGGTCTGGGATGATGCAATGACCTGCTACGCAGTGTCGCTTCAAGGCAGGTGCTTCCCCCTCAACTCCCACGAGCAAAATGCTGTTGTTTTCATTTGCCAAATCCGAGAAGATGCTTACCAGGGAGTTTCCAGGTACTTGTTATCTTGGCCATGGAAGACGCGACTAGTCGTAGCCATGATAAAAACGCCAAACGCTTATTTTCCTGGGGAGGAAAAGGATTCCAAAAAGAGAAAGATAAATGCAGTGTAAAGACAACAGCCTTGGGGAGGGGGGCGGGGCATCCACACTCAGCTCGACTCTCCTTTAATTAACCCATCTGGTCAGTCCCTACCAAACACCTGCGGAGTGTCAGGCCTCGTGCTAGGTGCTGAGGACGCAGTGGTGAACAAGATGACAGAGGTTTCTCCGCCTCGGCACTAGCGACGTGTGGACGGGATAATTCTTTGTCGCGAGGCCGTCCCGTGTACTGCACGATGCTTAGAGCATCCGTGACCTCTGCCTCTCAGATGCCAGAGGCACTCCTGGCCCCGCCCCCCACCCCCACGGTGTGACAACCAGAAAGGTTTCTAGACATGGCCTAACGTCTCCCAGGAGCACAGTCGGGTTGGAGACCTGACCAGCTGAGAGCCACTGGGCTCGACACTGTCCTCGTCCTTTGCAGAGCTTACATTCTAGAGGGGGGACTGAGGTTTAAAAAGTCAGTACGGTAATGACGGATCGTGGCAAGTACTAGGAAGAAGTCACAGGGAAGACGGACAGTGACCAGGAACGGCGTGGCCTGCGGGTGGGTGAGGCGGTCAGCCAAGGTGCCTTGGGAGCCTCGACCGTCTTGAGGAGTGAGGAGGAGGTGGCCGCGTGAAGGCCGCACGAGGCAGAGAGGACAGCGAGTGGCGGAGTTTTCAGGAGGAGGCGGCGGCGGCGGGGGCTGGGAAAGTCCTGAGCATTTCCCCCGAGCTCTGCGCCGCGCTCAGAGGGGTGAGCCCGGCCGCCTGGTTGCACGGCTCACTGAACACGTGGTGGACAAGCGCCCAAGACGGGGGCCTCGGAGTCCCTGGGACTCGGACCTAAGAGTTATGGGGCCGCCGTGACATTCGGAGCAGCAAGAGACTGTCCTCGGAGGCGAGCGGAGTGCGTGGCCGGCCCCGCCGAGGTCTCCACGGTCCCCCCCGCACCCCCGGCTCCGTCCCCACTCTGCCTGCTCATGTGCCACGCGGAGCTTTTAAGTCAGGTCCTCGAGGCTGAATGGCCCGCGGTCCTCTCTCTGTTGCCTCTTTCCCGGGCAGCCTGGTCCTTGTCCATGGCTTCCTTCGGTCACCGCCCAAAACACCTGCTCCCAGCTGCACGCCAAAGGCCGGACCTCTCGGCCTGACCCCGGACCTCAAGCTCAGCCACGCTGGACGTTCCCATCCCGCTCGGCACGTCCGGGCAGAGCTCACGCTCCCTGCACACCCACCCCCACTCCCTGGTTCTCCAGCTTGATAGGGGTCACCAGCCACACACCTACACGAGTCAGGGCCCGGGCACTGTTCTGGACGCCGCATTTCCTTCCCGCGTCCCGTCCGTCACGTGAGCGTGTTAATGTCACCTCCCGATTCTCTCCACTGATCTTTCTCTACTTTTCCCGTCCAGGCCACCGTCGTCGCTGCCAGAGATGACTTCACTGGACCCGAAGTGGCCTCCCACCCTGCCCCTAGCCCTCTCGTCCAGTCTGTTCTCCTCACTGAAGCCTGAGAGATCTTTTAAAGACAGAAACCCAATGCCACGCCTCCTCTTGTCCCTCCTGCTTCAAAACGGCCAAAGGTGTCCCTTTGTTTCCAGGACGAAGACTACGATCCGAGCGATGGCATTCGAGGCCGCACGTGGTCTGGCTGCTGCCGCCCACCTACCTCTGCGACTCCCCACTTCCCACCGCTCCCCCCGTCCCTCCTCCTCCCTCGGGTCCTCTGACCACAGGGCCTTGTCACGTGCTGTCTTTCCTCCCAACCTGCTCGTCCGTGACGTCTCGGCTCGAACGTCGCTTCCGGGGTAAGTTTTCTCCAGCGTTTCACTCCATTTCAGGTTCTTCTGTTCTACACACGTCCACAGAATGCTGTTCCTTCCCTTCTTTCTGAGCACTGATCTTCGGAAGATTCGTTAGCGTGATGTTTAGAAACGGGCGTCTCTCTCCCGTTAGACTGTCATGGACGTGGGAGCAGCGACTGGCAGGCGATCAATATTGTGAGGCGGGAGGCGAAGGGGAGGAGGGAGCTGGAGAAACCGCCTTGGTTCTTGGATTTCTATTTACGGACCCCAGGCACCTATGAGGACTGCCCGTGTTCCGTTCTGTGGCTTCACGAGGTACCCCATTCTTCATCATCCCCTCCCTTTTTGCTGAAGCTAGCGCGTTCAGGTTTCTGTTATTTGCAACCAATATATATACATATGTATGTAAATACACACACACGCACACACACACACACACACACACACATTAGCTAAGACAGAACAAGTGAGAAACTCCAAGTGCAGCTTGAACACGAGACGGTGTCTTCTCGCGGAATCACGAAACTAAATAGCCTAATGATAACGATGGCCTGGCAACTGTTCTCTTTTGGGTCTTTAGTCTTATGCGGGGGATGCTTCGTTTTTGGGGGG